GGTTGGGACTCTCCACGGGGCACTGTCTCGGCGGAGGTTGGTATTCGCTCTCGTATTCTGGGAATGTCACGTCCTTCACTTCCTGCAGGAACGGTTCAATCCACACAAGAACAGGCTAGCATGCTTCTTGCAAAAATGGCAAAACGAGGAGGTAAATAATGCTTACCAAAAAGTTGGAAGATCGTCCGCAAATTCCTTGCTGAGGATAGAATCGAACGGCTTCTTGATAGGCTTCCAGGTCGAAGTTCTCCCAATTGAAGCCTCTGAAGTACTCATGAATGGTCTGATTCGTCTCGTCCAGTTCCCATTCAAGTGATTGCCTTACAGGAGAGAAATTTAATTTAATCCTTGCTTCGCAAGCCTTTTGAACAATATCGTCCAAATCATTCATATTGACGCTTATGAACATAGTATTTTTACATCAACCTCGTTCCATACTAATGCTGATCGGTTCGTTGCTACGGACCAAGTTTTATTTGTATTCTGGTAACTTCAAATATTGATATGAACAATTTTATGTCTTGCTCATTTTGCTTTCACGGCATAAGGCGCTCTGAGTTATTGCTTCTCTCACTGAATGAAGAGATTTTTCTAATGTAGAGGGAATCCCCTGTTTCTTTGTTTAAAATGAATGTTGGCTGAATGGGTTTGCGAACTATAGCTGTGAAGAAAGTTCTCTTTCATACATTAATGTATAAATACATTGAAATACGAAATGACCTACATCTCGTGTCTAGACGTGTCGAGGTTTTGTTTCTGTGATTTAAACTTGTCTGCGGAAGATTCCGTTCATGATGTCCCATCTTGAAATGACGCATCAAGGATGGGAACAAGTGGGATAAGAGGAAAGGAAGTTTTTTCCGCTTAAATGTTTGAAGTTTGGAACGAAAGGCAGGAGATTCTCAAAGTAAAGTTTTCTAATGCAATGGAGTTACTCAAATGGGTTCAGTTTTCCTTCATTAAAAGAGGAAAGTGAAACTTGCGATACGTAACATGAACGGAAATGATAGCCAAAAATGAGTATGTTGGCTGAGCTTACTTTATTTTTTCAAATTATTTTCTATTTTTTTCTTTCATTATTTTCTTTTCAATGCAATGACTTCCAACTCAAAAAGACTCACCAGTTCATGTGCACCCCACCAAGTTCAAATGTGGAGTGGAAGTATTGGTAGTCCACGCTCGTGAGGCAGATGTTCATCCCTTCCACTCGAGGGTAATACATGGCGAAAAGTTCGCACATTTCGTCTTGTGTTTTCAGCCCTCCAACTGTCACGTCCTCTTGTTCCGAAGAAGACAACTCGCATTCTAAATTGAATGAAGTAAACTTTTAGGTCAAGGACATGTAGACGCACTCTCCTTGTTCACTGCATTTCCTACGTGATTTTTTTGTGGTTTTCATTCATGTAAGGCTAGCAAATGTGAATGTTTTCTTAGTGCAGAAATCTCGGAATAGTATTCGGCAGATGTAATCATGACTAGCTTCAGCTTCGGCATTTGAAATCAACCAGAAAATATGTTTATTTACTGCCGTTTGCATTCTTAATTAATTTCGATGTCCGCGCGACCTAACATTCAACTGCAACACTTTTGCCACGTGAAAAACTTGAATTGGAAAAGGGAGAACATTTAGTGGGCGATTTTGAGAGCGACCACGAAGCCGCTTGCTGGATGTATGGGACTGTGGCATAAACACTGTGCATTTCAGCTCAGTAAAAATTACTAAGTAATATTGCAACCTTTAAGGAAAACTTAATTTCTCTCTAATCAGTTGTAGAATGTTCTGGTGATTGTGGGATTTAGGAGAACTTCCCTATCTCCATCATAATAAAAAAAACTTGAAATGCTTCACTACCTTTCTATGACAGGTCATTTTCACTACCCAATAGGCGTGTGTAAAAGACACATTAAATCATGAGGTTTTGACATTGGAAGTAAGG